CACTTGGAGAAATTGTACAAACAAACTGGACACATTGAGGAGATTGAAAAGCTTTACGAAGATATTAAAAGATACGGTATAGATCCTCAATCTCGTGAACGCATCTTAATAAAAGGAAAAGGCTCATTTTATTGGAGATCAAGGATCTTGATCGGACGAAGAATTGAACGACAAAAAGCAAACATTAATCCCGAAGAGCAATACGCTATTAAAAAGCGACAGCGTAAAATATGGAAAAGCCGTAATTTAATACGGGAAGCAGCATTGCGAAGATTATATTCCAAACTTCAAACAAGTGAAAGTTTAGAACCATATCAAATATGGAAAAAAAAATATATTCAAGAAAATTATGAAGATTTACAACGATATAAAAAATCTGGAATGTTTCCATTTTAATATAATAATATCTTTATATTACACATTGAGGTTTTGTTCATTAGGAGATAATTAGCGATATGAATTTATGAATGTATATTCATGTTTATTTGAGATATGTCAAAGGTTGTAGTTATATTTTAAATAGTAAGTCAATGTTAACAAATTTTTTGTTTTGCACTCTAACATTCTGTGCCAGGTTTTGTCGATCATTTGGCCTATATTGATTGACATCAGCCTGCATTAAACAGATTTTGAAGTTAGGATTATGTTAGGGTTAGAGTGAAGTCTAAGTAAGAGAAGTTTTTTTTTGATTAAATGTAGTTTCATAGACAAATTTTAAAGTACTTTTAATAATTTGTCGATAATGATCGACCAAACCTGGCACAGAATGTTGAAGCGCTATTTGTTTTTAAAGTCATCGAAATTTAGAGATATTATTTTGTTTTTAAATCTAATTTTTGGCAGGAAGTAGAGAAAAAGTATAAAAGCTTCGGTACGGAACAAAAACCGAAATTTATCCCGAAACATAGCTGTAGTTGATTATTATTTTTTTATTTTTTTATTTTTTTTTATTTTATGATTTAGTAACAATAGTATCGAGCTACTTTTGTAGAGAGCTGCAATGAAAATTGATGTCATTTTGAGAAACAGACCTATTTATAATTTTTCTAATTTTTCAGGTAGCATTTTAAGAGCTTAAAAATGGCTTGAATAGAACACGGATTGTACACAGGCCTTTATTAGTAACAGCTTCCAAAATATAGCACAAAGTTATACCATTACGAAACAACGCTCATCATAAGTCGTAGTAATTTTGGAATTGCTAATTACAAAGTCAAATCCGAAATAATACCGCATAGATGCGATTTATCGATGGTCACTATGCACTTGCCTAAAATTGCTGCTTAATACATAAGTTTAATTTTATAGTGCAGGTGGTATAATAAGCATAGCGGGCTTTAAATCTGATTGGATGATCGACCGAAATGTTACACAATATGTTCTTCATATTAGCGTAAC